GATAGCTTCTCAGGAAAAAAATTTGAACTGGAATAACCCATTCCAGTTGTACACCATCTCATCCACTGGTAGGTATATTGTAATTCTAGAAACATTAGCATTCTTAGTACTTGAGAACTTTGCTGGAAAATGTCTCAGAAGCTATGGCACAGAACGATGTACAATTTTAAGAGTTGTAATTCAGATTTATTCCCCTGGCAGAGTATTCTCAAAAGGATTATCTGAAGCTTCAAATATGTGTGAGAGGCAGGCAATGTGTCACCACAATTCAAACCACATAAAGCATATGCACTCAGGAGACACAGGAGGAAAAAAAGTCACACAGGTGCAACAGATACCACAATACCAAAACACTCTACAGCTTTCCAAAGGAAAAAGCACTTCATTATATTAAATGCAACACATTCTGACCCTTCTAACTAAAAAGCAACCTGTTTCAAGAATCAGTTAACCAAGACAATTTTCAACAAGCTGTTACAGGTTGGTGGTTTGTTTTTTTTTTTTTTTCTGGATGGGTTTTTGGGGTTGGGGTGGTGTTTGGGTTTGGTTTGGTTTTCACATTTTTTGTTGTTGTGGGTTTTTTTGTTTTTACATAGGGAATCTTAGGATCCAGATTAGCCAGATAGAACACATCATTTACTTCACGAGACACATCAGCTTAATGAAGTAACTCATCAGAACTTGAATTTAATTGTTAATTGGGAATGATCTACACTGAGCCTGACCCTCCTTTGCTTGCCAGATCACGAACTCTTATTCTGAAGCCCTGAAGAATACTGAGCCAGCTCTTCTCTAACAACCATCCTGGCTAGATCAGCAGATGAAACAGAACTTTAGATCAGTGGCAGGTCTCCCAAGTTCCCACGGTGCCATAGATTTACTAAATGGGATCAGCATGTTCTAAAAACCCATGATAATATGAGGGAAAAAGGTTCCACAGCATCAAGCAGTACAATGTTTGAAACCTCATAATCAAAGTGACAGTTTTCAAGTGCCATTTACAATGCCCTAATCTGGAAACATCCCAGCTAACCCATCTGATCAACTATTTCACAGATGGAAGCACTTGATGGCTAATTGGCAAGTCCATTATTCAAATAAAATAGCTATCTGCACTTCTATTTTCTATATTCCAAGTCAAGGTGTAAACACTCCTTATAACACACAGGTCACTTTTCTGTCTCTCCCTCCCTTCCCATTTTGATTTTTTCCCTTCCCCTCTGCCATCAGATACGTTAATTCAGAAATACAGAATCAGTTTTTTTTCCATTTATTGCAGTAGAACAGTTGTCTGCACTGAGCAATGTAAATGAGCTTTCTCAAAAATCTATCAAGTAATGAAATTATTTCAACAGCATTTTTAAAAACTGTCAATTATTTCACTGCTTCCTATCACATCTGGATTCAGAAAAATAGACAGGATGCGTTAGCATGGACAAGAACTTGTATAGCTTGGATTATTGTTCTGAAAGTGTTGGGGAGAAGACTCTCCTAAAAATGCACTTAAATTTGCCCACACTCTTAAATGGTATCCAGTAGGATTGCCTAATACAGGCATATGTGGAACTGACTTCACTAGCAAACAATAGTTCAGCATACCAAATGAAGAGGAGTGTTGCTCCAAATTCCTGCCTGCTACATAAGTAGAATGCTTGTACATACCCCACAAAGCCTGTTAATTTGTCTGCAACAAATGTACAATGCAAAGTGAAGTACTAAATCACTAGTGAAATTCTGCAGTAGGCAGTATTCCAGGGGAGATGAAGAGGGAGAATGAAAAGAATGAACCAGGAGAAGGATGATAATAACTAAAAAAAAACCCAACATGAGAAGGGGCAGGAGGAGGAAGAGAGAAGACCATACAAAAAAAGGAAAACAAGGGCATTGCCAAAATCAGAACTCCCATTAACTACAGAGTGGAATTTAACGTAATAAGCATTTTGTTTGGGACATCACATCACTTTCAAACTTTAACTACTCTGCCACATCTTTTTTGAAAAGCTTCAATCTCTCATACTTCTTATGTGTATAGCATGAGAGCAGAAATTCAAATGCTTACAGTACCAGGAAATTTAAGACACAAACAATATCCACATGAAACAGTGTTGCAAAGGTCATCTTTATGTTATCAAGTACAAATCTAAACACAGGTACTTTCCCACACAAAGAACACAAAGTTAGCGACCAAGTTCACTGCCAGAAAATACCATGGATGGCTTATGTGATGCCAAAAGCTATCAGATTCTCTTTTCTCCTGTCTTGTCCACCTGTTGCCCCATGAAGACAGTCCTTTGTCCATCAAAGATTAAGAGATGGCTCAAAACAACTAAGCTGCAAGCCACTGGAGGGAAAATTTATTGTTGACATATCACTTTAAGATCACTTCCTTAAAGATTTATTAGCCATACCAAGATAGGCTTAAGGTCAATGGAATTTAGAGTCACACCTACCACCTCTGGACAATTCAACACTGAAGGCCAACCAGCCACTCAATAGCATGCTGATGAAGCAAATAGTAAAAAAAGAAAAAAAAAGAAAGAACAAACGATGAATTCATTGACAGCAGTTAAGTAGAATATTAGACACCAAAAGACTTGAAAAGAAATTACAAAAACATGAATCCAAAGAGCACTTGGGTAAACATATTTGAGTTTGGAAATGAAGACAAAAACAAACAAAAAACCCCAAACAGATAATAATCAGAAGAGGTGGTTTTACCAAGGGAAAAGAGCTGAGTAACTGCTGTTGAAGAAACTAAGGCAAGTCAATGAAAGAATTCCTTGGCAGAGTTCAAACATGAACTGTGCTGACCAGGCAGTTGCTGTTACTTGAACATTTGTTACAAAGGAAATCAAACAGACTGTTAGCAGACCTTATGTGATGCAGTCCTCTTGTAGGCAAACCCCTAGCTACAAGAAAAAAAAAAAAGATATCCCAAAATTGTTGTAAAATTACTTTGAAAATGCATCTTTTACAAGACTATACACACAGATGATTTTTACATTAACAAGAATGACTCCCTCAACAGATGTTTCTACTATATTCAACCTTAAAAGCAAAACCTCCAAAGACAGAACAACTATGACATATCAATAAAGAAAAACAAAAAGCTTTGTACAGTTGTCTAAAACACTCTAGTGCAAAAATAGTAATATCTTGGTCTACTTTCTAGCAGGATGAAGTATGTCCAAGAAATATATGACTTCTCTCTTCCACCTTAAATCCATCTGATTCACTCTTGCTTATCTCTCAATTATCAATCAATATTCAGAAAAGTGATCTTTGAAGGTCCATTGAAACACCATATTTTAAGGACATACAATTATTCTTTTTAAAAAGCATTCCTGCTGATTCCATAAACCAAAAAACTACAGAAGTAGTCAAGACATCCAGTGCAAGCAGCAACTTGCATAAAGAGCAATTCAGTTTTTCACTTTTTTTTTTTTTTAATCCAACACATACTCATCAATTCATTTAAGAGACAATTCCATATTTAAACAAACAGACAGCAGCTTTGCAGGCCAAAGCTGCCAGAGGAGTTCAGTGAGCTGCTTCTGAATGTTATGTTCTATTGTCTGCCACAATTTTCTAGCAAGCTTTAAGTTAAAGCTGAGAAATTCAGAAAGCAGCAGAGAGAGTTAACTGTAAATCTGAAAAACAGCTTTGATATGCGTCAAGTTCAGAGAGGACTAAGAAGTGAAAGCTTGAGTGATTAGACTGCGCAGATGTTAAAAAAATGAAGAGTCATGAAGCAGGCTGGCAGCTCAGAGGAACAAGAGAAATAACTGTTTAAGAAAGTGAAACTAAAAATAACTGAGGGCTGCTTGAAGATTCACTAAGAGAGCGTGAATAGAATTTTAGCTATAAAAAGGAAAAAATTATGCACCAAAAGTTACAGCTTATTTGGCAAAACACCTAGAGGCTGTAAATCAATTTCAAATATTTCACCAAATGCTTTGGTATTAAACCACTCCTTTCCTAGCTACACTGGACACAAACACACTACACATAACCAAAAGAAGCTGTGGATTTAGCAATTTCAGTCCTCTCAGAAACAGACATAACATGAAGCCCAAGACAAAAAGAACTGATTCCTTCAGAAGAACAAGAGTCTGGATTCTCAATTCAGAACAGAACCCAGAGACAGATGAAGAAAGCAGAGAAAGGTCAACTACTGCAGTCAGCCAAGACTACAAAGGAAGTAACATTGGAGACCTTTCCTTAAGGAAATAATTCTTCTTACAAGCCTCAGACAAAGAAGTTCCCCCCCCACCCCGTATCCACAAGTAGCCAGCACAATGTAATAAGATCAATGTGGTTTTATTTTTGAGAATTGCTGGCCACACCAGTTGGCCAAGGAAAAAAAGCACTAGGACTTGCTCTAGTGGTAGCAGAAGCCATGCAATGTGTGTAGGTCTCCCACTGGAACAGGACAGCTGCCAGGGAGGCCTTTTTGCTGCAAGCAGAATCACAGAAGCAACAACAACAGTGAACAAAGACACAATAAAACACACATAGGTGGCTACAACTACCTGCAAGTGATGAACTCAACTCAAATTACCTCCTGAAGTTTACATGTACTTCAGTATTTTATAATGCCCACTATAATGTGATCCAAGGACTGAAAGATATCATTTACACAGGAGTGAGTATGCTCAGCCATTTAGAAAAAATCTTCATCTTCTGAAAATCTGTATTATTGGAAATCGATGTTTACATTTTCTTTTGTGTTTCCGATGCCTTTCAATCCAAACTTTAAAATGTTCAGGCACCAAATGAAAGGTTTATAAACATTTTGTAAACTCAATGCCAACACAAGAGTTCATATGGACAAAAAAACCCCAATCAGGCTGTAACAATGATTTGCATACACTTATATGGCATCTCTAGAGTCAGCAATTATTACCATGAACTCTGTTTTTGATGCTGTTTTAAAATATTATAAAAGGAATATTACAGAATTGATATTAAAGGGAAGATATGACAACCTATATACTAACCTGTCCCAGTCCAGGCATACCTCCTCCAAGTCGCAGAAGTCTATCCATATTTCTAGAAAAACAGAAACAAAGGAAAAATGTTCCCAAGCTCTGAAGTGTTTACTAAATTGCTATCTATACAATTCACCTTCAGTCACTCAGTATGTCAAAAATATTGGTGGTAATTACAACACAACATCAGACTTCCTGTTAATTAACACCACATATTAATTCATGAAGCTGTCTTCCATGCTAATTAACAGACCTTGTTTTATTGCTTTGGTTTTGGGTTATCCCAATTTCTGAAGATGAGTACTCTTGTCAAACTTTTCAAAACTTTCCTATCATTCAATTAATTCAGGGATTTTTGCTGCTTAAGAACAACACCTAAATCCAGGAAGTGCCTGTAACTTATTAGATATACAATCAAGTTTACGCCAATTTGTTCAGAACGCATCAATAAAAATGTGAAAGTAAGGATTTTAGCATCCTCATTAGTAAGTTCTGCGCTAATTAACTTACAGCTTGTCAGTTATCATCAAAACTACATGTGAAAGACACCAAGCAGATTATGGATCTCTGAATTAGCATCAAAAGCTTTTTTTTTTTTTAATGAACTCATTATACTAAAAGAAATACTGTAAAGTAAACATTTAATGTGTATGTAGTTAGAATGCTAGTGACAGTACAGTCATTTAATACGTTTCCAGCGTTGCATGTGCCATTGCTTTTGTGCAAGATTATTCCAATCAATGCAACTAACTCATTACTTCAAAAAAAAAAAACCCAAAGCATTTCTATCTTGCAACTTTTAACAAAGTGATCTTCAGGAATAAGAACTGTTAAGGTGCCCAATTAAAAAAACATTACACTGATGTTTTTTCTCTGCAGTTTTTTCACCTTCTATTGTTGAAAAGCAATCTACTATTAATTGTGGGTATCTAAGTAAAGGTTCTGTCCCAGCTGTAACCTTTATCTTGCTTACTTGATCTTTTCAACTTCTTAGCTTTATACAGCAAAACTCAGTGATAAAATAAACAAAACCTACTGAATATTACTTTTTAAACAGCTGCTTTCAGCAAATCAAGCCATTTCCAAGGCTTACAGAAATTAGTAAATTTTACTGGTTTATTTTATTTATGAAATAAAAGATACAAAGTAAAGCATCAGAAGATTACCTTAACTGCACAAGTTTTAATGCAACACAATAAAGCCTCTTCAGGGGATGTAAGAGCAATTGAGAACATCAAGTAATGGTATTTCCAAAATACATTTATCCTCCAAACGGACGTTACATTACACATAAGAAAATTATATACATAATTTAACAGACTGCATTAACAATACTAATCCATGAACCTTCTTTAAAAATTAGTTATGCAGAATAACTTTGAAATTATGAAAAATAATTTTGCTTTGTATATTCAAATGTAATCTCATTATTCCTTCTGAAATTTCCTAATATTTTTACTGGCCAGATATTAACAGGCTTTATTTCAGTTTAAGTTTAAAACAAATATTTTAAGCCTCTTGTAAACACACACAGAGGCAGCATTTGAACCTACCACTAGACAAAGATTATCTAACTCCCACTTTAATCATGTATGGAATTTCACCCATTTCAAACAAAAAGATCTAAGACACATGGATCAATAACACTTGCTCTGCTGATTTCACTTTTCTAGTTTAATGCTCTAGCAAGCTATTAGCTTCATTTGATTCATTCCCTTGATTCTCCAGAACATACAAACCCAACAACTCCAGCCTCAAATAACAATAAGTACTTTCTTAATATATGAATTTAAAAGGAGTTTATTAAAGGGTCAATGGTTATGCTTTTCCTTTCAGACAGTCATTGAAACCAAGCTTCTTTATCACAGGCAAAAGCTGCACACAAAGTGTATATACTTTTCTATCCTGAACTACAATAAATTCCAAATCAAGTTGTGGGATTTCCATGGAAAGGTTAAGTTGCTGTTTAAAGCTATTATGTAAGCACATGGTAAATGCCTTCAATAAAACAGTCACGAGTACAAATTAACACCAACTACATTTCATTTTACCCCTCTGTGGTAGATACTCCTCCATTGAAACTTGCAATGATTCATCTTTCATGACACTAACAAGGACTGAGGAATAGCTGAGAAGTAGATTTAAACTACTAAAATTATTATTTTAAAATCAGTCATGGTTGTACGTTTATTTTAAGAAACTCTTAGTCTCTACAACTGGTAACTATTAAACTGGTCTTTCCTACAACTACAGCAACTTCCCTAAACTGATGAGGTGTATTACCTATGTACATTTAAGAAATCATATTGAATAATAAATCTTCTACCTATTTACATTTCACTTTACCAAGTGAAAAGCACTAGTTATTTCTAGTTCATGAATATTTACATAACTTATTTTCAGTTTCTAACCCAACACAATAGTACATCACTTATAGAAGCATATTTTGCTGTATTGAAGTTGGATTATGATAATTAGTTACACAAACTGATTATGAGGGTAACCTTCCAGGTTTTGAAACAACAAAATTTCATTGTCTTGCAGAACTGGAGGGGTGTAACATTTCCCACCTAACTATCACAGACTAGCCACTGAACTGAAGATGTTCAGATTCTCAATACAGTAGCATGGAGAGAACACCTCCACGAACCAGTTCTAGATGCACTGCAAATTATTTCACTAGCTCTGTGGCTTGACTCTGGTTAAGAGTTTTGGCAACTAATACTTTACTTTCTTATTTGTAACTGAAGATGTTTTAGTGGGTTATAGCATATTTATATATAGCACATAAACATATTTGTTTACTCTGTGTAAACATGCAAAGAATTTAGGTTAGTGATCCAAATGAAAACCAATTTTAATTTTTGTTAATCCACTGTGCCCAAATTTTATTTCAGTCTTAAATTCTGTTTATGAAATAATGCTCTTGTAAACCCCAAAACAGCTTCAGCAAGATTTTTAGACCTTAATTAAGATTACTTTAGCATTTCCAAATAAAGCAAATATTTTCTTACCTGGTGCTCAGCAAGAGGTGATCACAGAACAAACTCAGCAGCAGCTCCCACCTTTTGACTATTAAGATGATGCCAGTAGGTCTCTTTCCTATAGAGAGAAATAGAAAGGAGGGGAAGGGTAGAAAAGCAGTAAAATTTAGAAACAGTAGCACATGTAAAAAGAAATGCTGCATTGATGACCTACAAAAGGACAGAGCACCGTTGAAGAATAACCCAAAGAGTGGTTTTATGGTTTTGCTTCTACAATATAATCCCTGTAACATGTACATGCCATGTCTTGCCCAAGTATCAGTAACACTGAAAGAAGTTCACAAGTTTCTCAAAATTACATGGAAAAGTATTTTAATAACCTGTTTAAGCCATTTAAAGCTAATAAAGAACTTAAAATGCTGTTAGAAACTGAAACCATGGTCCTTTATCACTATTTCAGAAGATTTTGCCATAGTTAAGATGACCTAAGCACAAAGGTAAAGAGCAGTCTGCAGGTATGGACAGTTTTCTTGTTTATTTCTGCAAGAGCAGTTGGTGTGACTGAAAACGTCACAGAGGCTTTTAGGTTTGCCTGAATTCAGGTTGAGAAAGGCTGCTTCACATTCAGTTTGTTAAGTCATGTTATCCTCCTCCCAGAGAACACTGCCCACTAATTGCAGCCACTCAATCATTTGTAGTGCAGTGTTTTAAAACAGATCTGTGAAATGATCTGTGGCCATGATTTGATAGACATTTTTTTCAATGTCAATGTTAACATAAGGAGCAGTGGGGAAGCTGCTGCTGCTGCTTACCAACTTGATGCTGCTTTCTCGGTACTGCCAGGACAGCCATTTGTGCAGCCTTGCAGTAAACTGATAGGCTAGCAAAAATGTTGCTTTTAACCCTGTTCACTTCTCCAAAAGGATTCACACTGCATCCCAGAAACAGTTGTCTTGGCATAACAGAAAAAGAGGTCTTGGAAGAGCTGATTGCTTCTAACACTAATCCAGACTCCAGAAGACATTTATGTCAAATCATTCTTTAAGCTAAAGCTGCCCAAAGAATGTCTTTGTTTTGGGGTTGGGTTTTTTTTTTTAGTAACTGAGGTAATTTAACAGAGACCATTCTGAACCTTATCTCAAAGAAGTACAAGAGCAAAGGAAGATGTGTTAATCTTCCTGGAAAGTTAGAGGAGAAAGAACAAGTCAGAGTTTCTCAGTGCTGACAGGCTGGGGTGGAATTCCACTAAGAAGTCAAAAGAAAAGTTGCTACATTTCCACCAGTTTTGCACAAGGAAATCATCCAGGAGAGATCAGATGAGACAGGACCACAACAGCCAGCAGTTATACTAGCACAGGCTGCAACAGAACTGCAACCAGTTCACAACCAGGCTTCAGAGTTACAGCCCAATTCACTTTTAGCCAGCTGGCCACCCAGGAGTCTTGCATTCCCTTCCCCACTTCCTACAAGGATATTAAAGAAACAGATCTCTGTGAGCTTGGCCAGTTCCCTGGAGGAGACACACAGCATGGTAACCAATAGTTGAGAATTTTTTTCCCCCTCAGCTGCAAAGCACAAAAGGCTAGTTTTGATTAGACACTTGCTGGGTTTTTTTTTTTCCCCTGTATATATACACACACACTTACAAATATATATATATAAAAACACCACAGAAAAATAAACAAACAGTTCACAGTAAATCTTGCCTCCTTTCCTTCCAAAGTCGGCAAAAGGTATTTTGATAATATCTCCTTCTTTCTGCAAGGAAGAGTTAAAAGCCTATGTTTAAAGTGAAGCTTTAAGGAAGTGAGTACGTATCAAACGGTTCCTTATCAGAAAATTGCAGAAGGCCGGTTATAAACATAATAAATTTGCCTTTGTGTGTACTGCAGGATTTGGATGACATGTACTCATCACTGATGGCTTAAAAAAAAAAAAGTTAAAATTGCTTCTTCAATTTTGTATGATTGAAATACCTCAGCTAAAAAACCTTGGTCATAGGATGGTATTTAAAAAACCCAAACCTCCATTATTGCAATTTTATTTTAATTGTCCTGGCCTCAAAAGGGAAGTCTGTGGTTGTTAATAATGCAATGGAAGTATACACAGAACATCTCAAAACTGATACAAAAATAGAACTTCTTAAAAAAAATCCTTGTCTAATACTTGTTCATAATACTACTGTTAGGTAACTACTAATTGGCAAGAGTTGTCCATTTGGAGAGCTCTGGTTCACCATTCAGTTGACAGTTACTACTTTTAAATTACCTAAACACTGACTTAAACACTGACTTTTAATAGTGAAAATGTTTTTCCTTAGGTAACATAAGGCTGAAATTATATAAACACATTATGCACAAATGTATATATACATACAGGTAGAAACCAATAGTTACTGTGTTTATACTTGGCATGTTTCAGCACGTATTTTGAAATCAACAGTCTTAAATTACTGTATCTCTTTGCATGAGACATGAGTTTCACACTACAGTGCACTATTTTTATCTAGCATTAACACTCCATGATGTGATCCCTCAACGAAAGAGGGTTCTCCTGGGTTGACAACTTTTGAGTTAGTAAAAAAAAACCCCAAATTTAGCTTCAACATACATGGAACAAAACACACTGGCTACTAAACTGCCCTATTAGGGGAGAGAGTATCAGGCTAGACTGAGGTGACAGCAATTTACTCCACACTTTACAGTTTATACATTGCTTTGTATAAGCACTTCCAGATCTGTTGAGAAGTTCCCCATAGAAGATGGATTAATAATTTTATGAACAGCAACTATAAGAGTGGCTTAAGGTTTCTGCTGCAACTATAACAATTTCAGCTTTGCTAGGAATGATAAATGGCCACAAAGGTAAATTAATTGAGGGATTGCATCTTTCAGGGAAACATCATTTCACCGAGAAAAGAACAAAAGCTCACTGCAGGTAAAGTCACCAAACACTGACTGAAAGAATCCTGAACCAGAACAGGGGGTGGGCGAAGTCTATCTTCCTAAACATTTTGTAGGAAAAGAGAAAAAAAATTACCATCAATACTCAGTAACCTGTTCTTTAAAGCTAAACCATGCCATGAATTAATGCAGTCTCAGTAGTGCAAGTCCAGAGTCACATGACTATTTTGCTTCCACAATGTGCTCAGCTCTGTAAACTTGGTATTTTTGGACTGTAGAGACGCGAGCTGGACTAGAAGGTGTGAAGGTTAGCTTCTCAGACTCTGCTTTCTGATTTCTAGAAGCACAGCAAACCTAATTCTACTACATTCATTGCCAAGCTGGGGTTACTAAAGTAACTCAGACCCAAGCAGACTACTCTAAAACTACTTAAGTACATTCACACCGAACTTACAGGTAAGGGGAGATTCATTAACAAATCACACCACCACAGAAACCAACAAAATTAGTTTAAAAAATAAATTCTATGATATATAAAAAGCTTCTCCAAAATCTGCAGCAGGGGGGTAGACACACAACTATTGTGGAACCGTCCTCTATCACCAACTACAAGTACTCATCACACCGGTTTCGTTTTATTCAAGGTATCCTAACTACCTGTCCCATCATCCTAGATGTTCAGAAATAATCGTAGCTACTATTACAATACACTCCATAATGCCCATCAAGATTGTAAACTTTCTTGGAAGTGATTCAAACTAATTTATGTTTTGGTATTATTTCATGTTCATTTTGAAACTTCTCATTTTCTTAACCACAGATATCAAATTAATATTCCTGATGAGGCATGTTACAACAGCTGATGGAACACAAATTTCCCATAAGCTATAGGAAAAATCTAGTTGCTCAAAGTTGCACTAAGTGATTCAGAAGCACTGAATCTGCTTGCAAGTCATTTTCTGGATTTCCTCAAAAACACAGATCTTTTCCTTGTTTCCATAACACAAGCTCACAAGCAGTACTCTTCTCATCAGAACCTTCTTCCAAGCATAACCCCTATATCCAAGGCATACAGTACACTTTGGACTCACAGGGGGTGAAAGTTTTAAGATTAATACAAACCTGTCAGATTTACCAGCTTGCCTAGCACCTTTTCAGCTACATACAGTTTTTAAACACATTTGCATAAGACTTTTTTTTTTTAAGTCAGTCTCAATACTTGTTGTCTTCCTGGTTTTCTACAGTGTACCGGAAACATGTACAACTTTAAGAGATGACATCAACACACATACAGATTTGTCAACTGTTTACAAGTATCCAATTATATCACACAAATTTGTTCTGAAAACGATACTTAGGTCTGCTGCATACTAGAAACAGCAGTGTTAATTTTGATTGTCGCTCCTCTTCTACTTAATTGTACTTCACCTTTCCTGAAACGGAAATATTTCTTAACCTTCACGTATCCCAGCCAGTACTTTGCCCTCGCTTCCCCCTCCCGCCCTAACTCGAGCTGTACACCTCTAGGGACCATCGGAAGGCTTCACTCCAGAAGCAGCAGCGTTCCACTCCGTGAAGTCCCTCTGATGGGCAATACACCGCTGCTGCCGCCCGCACGACAAAGTCGCACTCGGAGCCATCGCGGCACTTGGCGCCCCGAGACACCGGCCAGCGCTCGCAGCCCAAGCACTACCGAAGCAAAACGCGACGGCTGCTCTCGGCCGGGAAGGAGGCAGCACCGCCCCGGGCCCCTGAGGCGCCGGGGCCCAGGCGGCCCGCTCCACTCCCCAGGGCCCGGCCGCCGCCTGCCGCCTCGCTCCGCCTGTTCACAGCCACGCCGGCCCGGCACCGCCGCTGC